TAGAAGTACAGATACTCGTGTTTAAAGATACTCTGGTAAAAGTAGAAGTGCTGACTAAACTTCTTTACTCAAGTTAAAGAGGCTTTGAAATGTACTTCAGTAAAAAGTACCCATAACTAGCAGCTGTTTTAAAGAGTACCTGACCTCCCAATATATTAATAGAACAATAATGTCATTGTTAGCTAATGAATGTTTCCATGCTGAACAACGGCAACATGACAACGTTTTCATTGGTCCCTCTTCTTTAGAGAAGACCAGGAAATGATAGATACACGGATCGTGTTCAAATCAATAGGCACGCAATGATTCTAAATAATAATGATCACGCCACCAAACACACATTCAAACTAAAGGAACCAGCCTGTTTGGAAAATGTGAGAAGTAGAAAGTACAGGTACTTGGGTTCAACATGTTAGAAGTAGAAAGTACAGGTATTTGTGTTCAACATGTAAGAAGTAGAAAGTACAGGTATTTGTGTTCAACATGTAAGAAGTAGAAAGTACAGGTATTTGTGTTAAAAATGTAAGAAGTCAAAGTAAAAAGTCATCAGACAAATAAGTAGTGGAGTTCAAGTACTGATACCAGAAACATGTACTTAAGTACAGTAACAAAGTATGTGTACTCCACTTCTTCCACCTCTGACACACAAAAAGCACCCATGGAAGTAAGCCAGCAAATGATGGTAGTGGGCAAACAGTGGTACTACACCTCAGGGTCAATTTTGTGACGTAATAAGGCCCAAACATGCTTTTCCCCATTCACTTACATCGGGTTGGAACCATCTGTAAATCAGCAGATATTTAAGGCTTTTATTTTGAAAAACAAGCCTCATCCTGAACAATCTGTGAGAATACAGTTTCTGTCTGGGGCTTTTATTTTGAAAAACAAGCCTCCTCCTGTAATACCTATAACAACAGTTTTCTTTCTTGAGCTTTTATTTTGAAAAACAAGCCTCATCCTTGTCAGTCTGTAACAATACAGTTTTTCTTCTGGGGCTTTTATTTTGAAAAACACGCCTCCTGTACAACCTGTTACAATACAGTTTCTTTCTGGGGCTTTTATTTTGAAAAACAAACCCCATTCAGGACAATCTAACAATACAGTCTCTTTCTGGGGCTTTTATTTTGAAAAACAAGCCTCACCGAGAACTCCCAGTACAATCACTGAAAAAGCCCTAATCATTAGGTCGTAAAAACCAACCCTCTTAATTCCTCTTTTCTCCCTGTTTCTGCAGGATTGTGGTCACAGCTGACATGAACAAAGGAGTGGTTTCCAGCAGCGCTAAGCTCTACAACTACATGCTGGACCTGAAACTCAGCCACAGTCTGGTAAAAAAACTACTTTAATTCTCCTCTATACAGTTAAACTCATTACTGCTGTAAGGTACACAATCGTCTTTTTAGAAGTCTAAAGATCTATGAAGAGCAACTTTGCACGTGCTGAAGATATTGAGTTGACTTCCAGTAGCTGCATCATCTGAACAAGGAGGTGTCAAACGCTTTCTTTTTTTAATTAATAGTTCAACATGTTGAGAAATACGCTTATTGTGAAAACACAACAAACAGTGCTAGCATGCATCCGTAGATTCTAGGTTTATTTACTGTAATTCTACCGCAAAGCTCAGCCAATCAAAAAGAGGGAGATCTAGTTTAATGTTAGGCGGCTTAATGCAACTAATACCTGCAGCCAATCACAGTCCTATGATATGTTGACATACATAACATATCACAGGCAGTCATACCGCAAGCAGCCTGTTAGCTTAGCTTAGCATTACTCTGTCCAGCGATAACTCAACTTCTAGTTTGTTTAGAAAGGACATGATTGGTCCCAGAGAAGAAACTGTCCTACACCCTAAGGAAGTACTTATGTATCATTTTGTTGGTTTTCAATAAACAGCTGTTATATGTTCAGTGAGACTAAACAACGTATTGAAGTTTTGTTCTTTGTGTTCTTTCAGGCGTCGGGTGTGAGTGACCATTACCCTGTGGAGGTGCAGCTGTCCTGAGACTCAAGAACCGCTTTAAAATCCTCCAGGAGGAATTTTAATTAGGATTACTCTAATTTCGGCAACCATCTTTGAATTGACCAAAAATAAACACATTCGCAGATTATTTAAATGAAAACGTGTCTTCTTGGACCTGGAAAAAGTCTCTTATCGTCTTGTGTAAAAGTCTTCAAAAAAGTATATAGGCGCTTCTATTGGCTAGCGCTCAAACACATTGTAGGTTAAGGGGCGGGACATCTCTAAGCGGTTGACCAATCACAACAGAGCCGGCCAGCTAACCAATCAGAGCAGACTGGGCTCTGGGCAACAATACATACTGATATACACCTGAACATCAGCAGGAGAGGACTCTTTAAAGTAGAGACACTACATACTGATATACACCTGAACATCAGCAGGAGAGGACTCTTTAAAGCATTTTTTCGAGAAAGTAGTGCCAAATTAAAGAAGTAACAATTTTGATTTTGACAATCCATTATTTAATCAGAAGCAGTTCCCTAACCACATGAATAGATACATGTTATCAGGCTAAAGCACATGTGTTGTTAGTCATGTTTTGTACATACATCTTACAGAAGTCCCAGGGTTACTTCCTCACTATTTGTTATGGTTCTTAAAAGGTACAGACTAGGCACTTGGTGGAGAACTAGAAAATCATTCACAGTTTGTTTTACTAATGTTGAGTCTATTTCCAAAACATAGCTAACTGTGGGCTGAGGTGGAGTAGCAAGTGTTTTTAATACCGGCTGGATCAAAGATAGTGGTAACTTCAACCAAAGTACTTTGACATTTGGAAAGAGAATGTATTTGTCACTGAATCATGAGCAGTGGTGGAAGAAGTAACCCATTACTGAAGTGAGAGGTCTAAAACAACACTGTCAAATGAATGCATTGTTAGTGTTAACGGCCAAATGTACCAAAACACCCCTATTCCAAATAAAATAGAAAATGACTTAATGTTTATAGATGCTAATTACTTATCCCTTAATTGGCTAATTGATTGATTGAAAAAGTCGGTCTTGTACAATTGTTTGATATAGTTTAATTAATTACAAAATACCATATCTTATAAACCCTTTTAATTAGGCAAAATGAATTAATGTACAGTAATAAGTACAGGAGAGACAAGTACAAGTACCTACATGTTGCACATTCAGTACAATACTTGAGTAAATGTACTTCGTCATACAATCAAACATTAGGAGTACGTCCATTGGTCGAACCGGTATGAAGGCGAACTGCCGAGAGAGTCAAGGATCTTATCTTGACACCAATAAAAATATGAGACCAGATGTGTTTTTATATCCAACGCGACCCTAAAGAAAGTATACACGTTATTATTTCTCCTCTAGGCTCTTCTCTTTTTCAGCATCTCCATGTACCCGCCGAGAGACTTCTGGATGGAGTCTTTGGTGATGAAGTTGACAAAGTATTGGATGTCGGACTCTCTGTTGGACGTGAGCTTGTCGATGGTTTTCTTCCTCATCATGGATTTGGTGATCTGTCTGGCGTGGTCTGTGAAATGTGGAAATGAAGAATTAGATCATCCTCAGATCAAGACATAATGACAAGTGTCTTGGTAGGGAATTATACCTGATGCTAGTAAGGCCAGAACTGAGTAGATGTTGTGAGCAGTCGCTATTTTCTAAATACATGAGGCTTTTATTTTGAAAAACATGCCTCTTTCTTAGCTTTCTGCGAGTAACTCTTTGGGGCTTTTACTTTGAAAACCATGCCTCATCCTTAGCTTCCTGTAATTCTGTCGTTACTTCCTGTGTCTTTTATTTTGAAAATCATGCCTCTTTCTTAGCTGCCTGTAAGGATCAGGTAACTCTTTGGGGCTTTTACTTTGAAAAAATGCCTCATCCTGAGCTTCCTGTAATTGTGTTGTTACTTCCTGTGTCTTTTATTTTGAAAAACATGCCACTTTCTTAGCTATTTGTATGGATCTAGTAACTCTTTGGGGCTTTTAATTTGAAAACCATGCCTCATCCTGAGCTTCCTGTAATTCTGTCGTTACTTCCTGTGTCTTTTATTTTGAAAACATGCCTCTTACCCAAACTATATAATAGAAATATAGTAACTCTAACGGACATTTAATTTGAAAAAAAGGCTCATCCCGAGAATCTCTTTAGGATACAGTTACTCTATGGGGCTTTTATTCTGAAAAACAAGCCTCTTCCTGTTACATTTCAGGTAATGTATGGGACTTTTATTTTGAAAAACATGCGTCTTCCTGAGCTCCATGTAAGGATAAAGTAACTGTGGTGCATTTATTTTGTAATACAAGCCTAATTCTGAGCTACCTCTTCCAATACAGAACTCTGTGGAGCTTTTATTTTGAAAGCATGCATCCTCTAGCTATGAGGAGAAAATACAATCAAATCGAAAGTTATCTAAGGAGCATATTGAATAAAATATGGTAATATAAAAAAGGTTAAGAGCTTAAAAGGTTAGAATAAAAAATAAAATAAAAAAATGCAGGTGGGTTTGAGGCTTTTCTTAAAGTGATGCAGAGATCCCTTTGTTCTCTGGAAGCTGATTTAAATATCCCAACACACCTGGAATAGCCAGCCACCTGCTGATGGTCTGCGTTGCCGCGGCGATGACCTGGTCTTCAGGCTCCAGCTGGTCCACCAGTCCGATCTTCAGAGCATCAGCTGGTTTGTAGAGGAGTCCCAGCTGAAGGGCCATCTCTGTGGTCCGCTGGCCCACCGTGTTCTTCATGGTGTCCATAAACCTGCAAACAACATCATCATCATCATCATCATCATCATCATCATCATCCAAAAAACAAACTTGTTATGACGTCGGCATGACCGGCAGAAGTTACACTTACAGTAGAAACCTATGAGGGCGCTGTAGGACACAGGTGTGTAATGTGCATGTTGAGGATGGAAGGTCAATAGGGGGCGCCAGGGGGTGCTGCAGCTCCCCCCAGGATGGCCATAGCACCCCCAATAAATGTATATATTTTTTACGTGTGAAATTAATAATTTGCAAAATGATTGATTAGAAAATAATATGCTACAGTACGTCTGGGTCTCTGTGTTTCATTAAAGCTCTGTGTGTGTGTTTGGCACAAGCTATTTTGTGTGTGTGTGTGAGAGAGAGAGAGAGAGAGAGAGAGAGAGA